GGAAAAAAAACGAACATGGTTTTTAAGATATATGAACAAATATTAAGCATATAGTTAACTATATGCATGCCAAAGTATTTAGGGGAAAGTGCACTGATGTTTGCAATTGACTTTGAAATGCAACAACAACAAAAATATAACATGGGCTGATGGATGGATGGATAGATAAGTGATAAAAACAAGTATAATAAAATGTTAGTGGTAGAATCTACTTGATAGGTTTATGGGTACCTACTATAAAATTCTTTGAACTTTGCTGTATGTTTGAGAATTTTCATAATAAAATGTTGGGAAAAAAATAATAAACTCAAAATGCCACTCTGACCCTGAAGAATTACTATCATAATTTACTAAGTTAATATCCTATTGGTCTGAGGAAATTAATGTTTTCTTTAGGGAGCTAGCACTTTTAGTTTATATACTTTGGGAACCAGATGTATTATAGATAAACATTTTTAAATAATCACCAGAGAGATGTTATAAAAGAGTATGGTGATACTCTATTGGGGAATAAGATCTTGTAGCCTCAGGGCCAAACTTTCTAGGAGAATCTTCTGAGTCTAGAATTATATTTCATTAGCAATTCAGATCAACTTAATTTCTGCCCCTAATTTCTGTGGGGAAAGTTGTGAAACAGGTCACATGTAGATAAATTAGTAAGTTCATGCCTGCTCAAATATGGTTCATTTTTCCACCTTGTCATTTTCCAGTACTGTATTGCTTCTGCAGATCTTATTCCCCTATTTTGAGAAGGCAGTTTAGATGCCATTAAACTCATTCTCTACTCTCCCCTCATAATCTTGCAAAGCTGTTGGTACTGACACTTAAGCGTTCCGTGGAGAGTGATTTTCCAAGTGATGAAGCAGATTCTAATCAGTATATGATCCAGATGTGGACTGGGAGCTGGACCTCTGCCACCTTTCCCTCCAGCTCTCTTAACACAATGACTAGGGAATTCCTTTGAGGATCTCTGGGTATACTTCAAGTCCTCCTGGCCCTGTGGCCTCCTTCCAGCCACAGAAATCTTCCTGTCTGGAGCATTTCCGGCCCTTCTGTCCCTAGGCTTGGAGTGTTCAGCTCAACCTGAGGAAGAGACAGAAGACTTGAGGTTATCAAAAGCCTGTTGAATTATCTGATGCAAGACTGACTGGCTTGTTTGCCTCCCTGGCTGTCTTCCTGGGCTTCAAAGCAGCTGAGAAAACAACCTTTTTCTAAGCCTTGGACAAGGAGGAAAATCCCTGGCATGAAGGATTTCTGTTGCAGACACTTGGCACAGCTAGAGGAAAGGTTTGTTTAGCTTAGCAATGGGTTTTATTAGCCCAGGCATCCAGTTGAAGTGAGATAATAGGGTCCCTGTTGAAGGACATTTCAGAGTCAGTAGGTTTCCTTCCTTGCTTCTCAGAAGGACCCTTGCATGCTGATGAAAGTATCAGATGCATTCAGCAAGGACATCGCTGCTGAATTCATCAACAACCACATAATCTTGCTGATCACAGAGGAGACTGAAGCAGGGTTAAATAAGTACCAAAATAGGAAATTGCAGATGGTTGTAAATTCGTATTTCTCAGCTATCCCAATTGCTTCTCACCCCAGTTGTCTTGGCTCAACATATTACATTGTCTTTGGGCTCTAAATTTTGTAGCAGAGGGCAGGAATAAGAAAGAAAGCCAGGCCTACCACCTGCCCCTACCGGAAGAATTTCTTCTGCTTATTCTTTTCCTCTGCCAGCTGGTTTTACTCTGCCTTTCACCCCCAACCAGTGTGAGATTGGGGGTAGTGGGTGGGAAGGGGAAGGAAATAGAAGAGAGGAAGGATTCATTAGCAGCGTTCAAGGAAGCCTGCCTGGCACAAGAATTAGAGAGGAGAAAGAGGAAGAATTGGTTCCAGATTACCCTCAGCACATGGCTGCTTATTCATGTCTACTTTCCTGGGCCATAAAGGCAAAACTCACTTTTTCCTAAAGTTGGGGCTGTATTACAGGAACTCAGGTAAACTGCCAGGACCAGAACTCTATAAAAGCAGCCTCCAGGATAGTCTATACCCAAGGTTCCTGACATCTTTGTGCCGTCTGCTCCACATTGGCCTTCCTGACCACCCATGAAGGAGAAGGCCTGGTCTGGGTTGCTCCAGATGAGGGGACAGTCACACCTACACTTTGGAAGGACATAGGCACTATCCCTAGAAGGTGTCACCATACTGGAGGAGGCCTGAGGTTTCTATGGTCAGCACTTTCTGTTCTATGGCTCCTTTTCCACTTTGAGCCTCTTAGAAGTGGGATCAGGCCAGGAAAAACATGTGATGCTATAGGAAGCTGAAACCAAAGACTTGACTTTGGACCTGCCCAAGCTGGGAATTTTGGCAGTGATTGACTGGGCAGGCTGCCCTTTTATATGGCATCTTCTAAGTCTCCTAACTCTGGGAAGAGGTGCCAACTAAGTCCTCAAAGTGGGTATGAGTCAGGGCTTCTGAGGGTCACTAGTTTGTGCATTTATTCACTCCTCCATTGTTGGGTTTTATAATTGAGCTTCTATTATATATTTGGCACCGTACTGGAGGTTGGTGGGCCTAGGAGAAGCAGCAATGGTGTTGACCGTCTCTACCTTCAAATGCATGGCAGTGAGCCCAGGTAACATTAACTGTGGAACCATGGAGAAAGCAGTAAGTGCGATTAGAGAGGTATAGATGAAGTGTGATGGGATTAGCGACAGATTACGTCAGGCTGGAGAAATTGGCCTAAGCTTTCCGGGAGGGGTGGCATTTGTATGGGGTTCAAGGAATAGGTAAGACTGGACATTCAAAGAAGGGCAGGAGCAAGGCTGCCAGTGTGGACACTTGTGAACATCCCAGGCGACCTGCATGGGTGCCCTGTCCAGTTCCCTTCTTCGTTTTGAATTGTGCAATATCCATGCTGCAGGAAAAAAATGCCTTTATTTGCTGTTATATATTCTGCCTCATTTGATGTATTACCCCTGAGAGAGAAGTAGATTGATCTGTGCATGACAAATTGGGGGCTACCATCTTGGTGGTTAAAAGTGTGGACTATAGAACCAGCTGGCTTGGGCTGGAATCCTGACTTCAGCACTTATAAGTTGCCTGCCTCAGAGGGTTGTTGTTTTCTTCATCATCATCGTCATCATCACCCTCACCATGATCACCGTCATCATCACTGTGGGAACCCTGGAAGGCTCCCTCACCCACCCCAGTCCTGTAGGATTTTCCACTGTTTTAGAGCCATTACTCTCCTTCAGGAGTCTTATATTAAAATGCAAACACCGGAAAGGGTAACACTGGAAGGTTTAAATCAGCTGTCACCTTAGAGCTAAAGAGAATCAGTTGACAATTTATTTGCTCAGAGCCAAACAGGCACCTGAAGGGACATAACAGAAGGAGAACAGGGTCTGTAAGGGGAGGCTAGTGAGCTCCAAGGGCTGACTTCCCTTTCCACGTCTTATTTAGAATACCTAGGCCTCTGTGTTTTCACATGTAAATTGGGAGAGACCTTCACACATACAGCACAGGGATAAAGTAAAGAACAGTGAGGAAAATACCCATCAATCATTTTAGGAGCCCACTTTGTACAAAGCACTGGATTGGGCCCTATAAAAGGAATGGGTGTGGGATCAAAGAACATGCCCCTGATCTTGGCAATCCCATCGAGAATTCAGAACATATACCTAAGAAGTAAATTGAGGTAGAAATAGATAGCAATCCTTTAGAAAATGCAAATTCACACAGTGCAAATTGAATCTGCTTGGCCCAACAATAAATGTTTACTGATGAATGGATTGAATGAATAAATGAGTGCTCGGGAAGGAGGAACTCACGGTAGAATGTCAATGTGAAAAAAGCCCAAAGGCCTAAAGGCTTCCCTGTATTGTCTGTGTTCTGCCACCAGAATGTCAGCTCCATGAAAGCAAAGGCCATGTAAGTCTCACCCCCTGCTATATCCCCTGCATCTAGAACTGTGCCTAGCACAAAGGAAAGTGCCCAGTAAATATTTGTGGGTTGAATAAGTACATGGATAGATGGGTGGGTGGCATGAGTAGTGGAAATTATGTCCAGATAGTAGTGGGATTTGGGACCCAGCACACCTATACCTTAAATATTCCTCCAAAGACTTTTAAAATATTGATGACCACTTTCCTTGCAAGAATAGGTGAAGAAAGGAGAAAATATATTCATTAGACTATAAAGCTGAACTAGTCTGATATGAAGGAAACATTCAAGAAAAAACAACCTGGCTATTTGCAGGGGGGATAACAGCTCACAATATCACACACCTGCCTTGTGGGGCCTTGGGCTTTCTGAGCCACCGTGTCTGCACTCATTCTTGCCCAACTACATATTTCTGTGAACCCTCAGAGGATTCTAAAACCAACTTCACACATTGCACACAGGGTTGAGTATGACAAAAATTTTTCACTAGGGCCCCGGAGTTTTATTAAGCCCAGTCAGACCCTCCCTGTAGGTCATTATTGAAGAAGGTGGGATGATACTTGACAACAGCACAAGTCAGACAATGAGTAGAACACCCCAAATTTATGGGATGACTGAACATCTAAAACAGAACAGCCTAAATAATCTACTAGGGAAGGTTGTTTGCTTTAGAAAAGGATAATTTGTAGTTTGAAAGGCAGAAAGGCACAAGGGCATGGGGTATTCATTCAAGTGTTCAAAAGGGAAGACTCTGTATGTATCACAAAGATACATGGCAAACATCACCTTTTCTCTGAAATGTGTTGGGCTAGAAAATGAATTTACACTTCCCCTCTCTACTATGTGACACTACGGAAACTTCCTGTCAGAATACTCATATAAAAAAAAGAAAGAAAGAAAGAAAGAAAACCCATATTAAAAGCCATATGCACCTTCACCCCAGACCTCTTAACATCATGTTTGCGTTGAAGTGTTTGTGGTCATGGGTTGCTTTGCGTGTTTAACCACTTGATGGTTCTCCTCCAGTTGTTCTCTTATTTGTCGGTTTCCCCTTTGGAATTTAGGCTCCGATCCAAACATGCTGCACCCAGTATGGTTTGCTGAATGAGAAGAAAAGGACCATCACTTGTCTTGTTCCAGATACTGCGTCTCCACTGAAACAACCTGAGACCACACTAGATTTTTGTGAACCACATCCCACAACCAACTCACAGCGAACGGTAGTTAACTAGCGCTCCTAATCCATTTTCTGAATGTTTAATCTCATGTCCCCCATTCTGTAACCAGTAGTTGGTCCTCTGTCCTCAAGGATAAGGCCTTACACGTTTCAATAAAATTTCATTCTAAAATAGTTGTAGGATTTGTCCCAACCTTCTAACTAAACTGAGATTTGTTTTGATATTATGATGATCTAATCCAATATAAAACCTTTTTTTAAGATTTAATTTATTTACTTGAGAGAGAGAGAGCTCGTGCTAGCATGAGCGGGGTAAGTGGGTGGTGGGGAGAGACAGAGGGAGAAGCCAACTCCCTGCTGAGCAGGCATCCCAACACGGGGCTCTATTCCAGACCCTGGGATCAGGACCAGAGCCGAAGGCAGATGTTTAACTGACTGGGCCACCCAACACCCCTAAATTTTTTGTTTTCTGTTACCATATTCAGCATCCCGTTAATGGGTTCAATTACATCATCCACAAGTCCAAATGTCACCTTTTTTAGTAAGGTCTTCTCTTAGTACTGTATTTAAAATTGACCCTTTTCTCTGATCTAATATACTTCCTATAGTCTTTCTCTGACTTTTTTCCCTCCACAGCATGCATAATCATCTAATATACCATATATTCTACCTATTTGTTTTGTTTATTATCTTTTTCTTCCTTTAGAATATAAGCTCCATTAGGGTGGCAATTTTTGTTAGTTCCGTTCTCTGGTGGATACCATATTTGTTGTACGGATATGGTTGATTATATCATTGTCCTTATCCAGGTCAGTAAGAATGTTGAACATTGACAGGACCAATTCTACTAGAGGTTGCTATTGATCTTCTTGTCACGTCCAGATCCACTTAATGGTATTAGCATCCAGCCCAACATGTCTTCCCTTTATCCAGAAGGATATTGAGAATTTGGTACATTTTTTGCTGAAAAATCAGATATTTCATGTTGGTGGTGGCTCTCTCATCTATTAATCTGGAAATTCTTTCCAAAAAAAGGAAGTGGGATTCATTTGACATAACTGATCACTTCCTCTTTCTAACTGCATACAAACCATCCTTTTGATAACCCATTTTAAACCCTACACAGGAAGAACAGGACATTAATCAATGACCTACCCAAACCTGTGATTCTCTGGAAGGGAGGTCCTTCCAGGTGTGAGGTCCCTCCAGGTGAGGCCCTCCTGGCTTTATTCACAGTGAGCATTGTGTTTGCTGGGAGTGGAAGCATTCAAATGATGGAGGCAGCCCCACTGAGCTAGAGGCTTAGGCTTAGATCCCATTTGTTGTATTACACTGGAATATCACATCCTTTGTTTTCCGGAGTCTCAGATTTTGCAGTCTATCAAGTAAAAATGGTAATATAATTTTCAAAAATATAGTGTGATACTTTATTGATTATTATTTATTTATATCCTTTTGGTTTCATGTCCAATTGCTTCATGCAGACAATAAAGATCTGAAGTTTGGGATATGTTTAGTTTATTTCTATTGCTCTTTGATCTAAAGGATTTATATTTCTTTCTTCCATTTCCTTTTTTCCCATTCTTTCTGACACAGCTGTGGTTGAGGCCCTTGTCATCTCATCCCTGAATTATCACAGTAGCATTCTAATGGGCTCCAGGACTCCTGTCTCTTGCTTCTTCATCTTAGATTCTTCAGTCAGGCTAATTTCCTGGAAGCCAGCTGCTCAAAATGTGGTCTGTGGAGCACAGCATCAGCATCTCCTCAGAGCTTGCTAGAAATGCGGATTCTCAGGCCCCACTCAAAAATCTACTGAATGAGAAACTGCATGTCAGCAGGATCTGTAGGTGATTCATACTCACACTGAAGTTTGGGAAGCACTATCCTCTCTTCTGTTATGCCATTCTCCTACTGAGGGGTATCCATAGACTTCACATTGAACCATCCCTAAACTATCTCTGTCAGAAAGGTTCCGTCTAATTTTCAGGGGAGATGTTTTTGACATGAAGATGCAGATGCCCACCTATACCATCTACTCATTGGTTCTGAGGATGATGAGCAAGTTTATCTAGATAACTTTGGAGCAGGAGTAAAAATTATTGAGAGTTAACTTGAGTTGAATCCTTCCAGTAAAAGTAAAGTATTTTTGTTTTTGATGAGTGAAAATCAAGGGAAGCACTTGGGAAGCATATGTGATGAGTTGTTTGGAAATGTTTTTGTGAGTTTGACCCCGTGACAGGAATTTTATATATTTAATTTAATCCTCACAATAATCCCATTTAGGTGGGTGTTGTTATCCCCATTTTACATGTGAGGAAATGGAGAATCCAAAAGGTTAGGTTGTGCAGAGCCACAGTATTGGTTAGAATTCGGGCTATATACACGATAGTAACAAAAACAGTGGGAACTCAGTGGTTCAGGAAAGTGGCTCTATCTTGAGATGGGCAGATGACCCCAGGTGGGAAGCACGGATGCTTTATGAGGTTACCCCACTTCCTTCTCCCATGTTGCTTCATCATCTCCCAGGATGTCCACCTCCATGGGGTTGAAGCTGGTCCCTGCCCTTGGGAAGAGGGAAAGGGAAAGTGGGGAGCACATAATTATTTAATGAAAACATAAGTTTTCAAAATATTGGAAGTGCTACCTGTCACTTGTACTCACGGTCTGTCAGTCAAAGCTTGGTCACATGGCCACACCCAGTTGCAAAAGAGGCAAAGAAATGTTGAAACCTGGGGAGTTATTAACTAAAAAGAAGAAGGGAAATTGGCTATGAGGGGAAAATTGCAGGCCTTGCCATAGGCACCAAGCTGATTAGTGGAAGAGCTGAGATTCAAACTCTATGACTACAACCTGTGATCTTTCCACCACATTATACCACCATTTCTCATAGCTGACAGTCAGTAAATGTTTGTTGAACTGAGATAAATTGAGATATTACACATAAGCCTTTTGGTTATTTGAAAGTACTTCTTCCTTCTCTCTTGCCTCCCTGATTACCTAAGTAGCTCTGTGCTAAACTATCACTATGTTTGACAATGTTACTTTTTAAAGCAGGAAACTGATTTTCATCTTCCTTCAAGAGATTTGTATATTATAATAAAATAATTCGCCAGTCCTTAGAGCTACTGTGGAACCATATGAAGTATGGTAATCGTTGTTAATGGTAATCATTTTTTTAATGATCAAATGGCTATCCATTTTAGAGGAGGTATTTTGTTAGGAGAATGCCACTGCTCAAAATAGTTTTGATATTGTGTGTTGGCTGGTGTATCAGTCAGCTCTTGCCTCAGTGATGCTTCAGGACAACCATACCCAAATCTCAGAGGTGTGCAGTAATAAGCATTTAACCAATGGGTACGTGGGTCTCCTGGGGGTCAGCTCTTTAGACTGGGGCTGGCTGGCCAGCACTGCTCCAGGTGTCTCTCATCCTCCTTCTGAGAGAGCAGGTTAGCGTGGATATGTTTTTCTCTGGCAGTTAGCAGAAACATATGAGCAAGTGAAGATATGAGAGGCTTCTCGAAGCCTTGGCAGAGAACCTATTAGGAAAGCAAGTTATATGGCCAAAACCATGGTCCAGGACCATAAGAAACACCTACACCTTAAGTAAGAGGAAATGTGGACACATGGCAAATGGTATGAATAGCCTTGGTGAAGAGTTGGGGCCAACAAAGCAAATTATCATGGCTTTGCTTTTACTGAGTTATTTTGAATATTTATAATGAGGGTAAATCTTTATCTTTTGAGGGTAGCTTTGAATTTCCTTTTAGCAAAATAGCTAAATTTCTAAGTAAGTTTAAAGAATCAGTTTAGGATTATCTTTGGGCAGAAAGGTAGCTGTTTAAGCATGTGACATAAAATAATGAAACATTTCTAGAAGAACCAGCTCAGGAATATGGCATTCAGTGGCAGAATAGTTGGGATAAATGTATAGCTTTCCAAAATGACCAGCTGATTGAAGGAATAACACTCATTTGGTTCTAAAATAATTTTTCTAAAATAAACTTTATAGCTTGTAGTCACATGTCCCCACTTTGTCTCAAAATGGGAAGGGGAATGAATAGAGGGTCATCTCTGACATGCCCTTTGACCAGCCCTGGCAAAATATGCTTTGTGTGCAGATTCTCATCGCCAAGTCCCCTCTGGCTCCCTTCACCTCATTTGCCTACACCATCAAGAAGGAAGGCCTGGTTCTTCAAGGTAAGATCCTCGGATTAAGCCATTTCTTTAAGCTGATTATGCTCAGTGCTGCCTATGGCTGGTGATAATTACTGCTGCGCTCCTGGTAGAAGCTACTTCGGGACAGAATCAAAGGCCAAGATGAATTTGCCAATGATATTTATCCTAATGAGATAAAAGAGATTGGCAGTTGTGGCAAGAACTTAACAGAAGGTGGAGGTAGGGCTGGGGGAGAACTGCTAAATTTCCTAACAGAGTACAACAAAGACTGAGGGTTAAAGCACAGATCTGGGAACCGCCAACCCCCAGACCTCTTTGCAGATCCTATGGAGTGAGGAAGCAGGCGGTAGGCCTCTGACACCAGTGTGGAGGACCTGAAAAACCATCTGGTCTGGCCGCCTGTGGGGCACTTTGTCATGGCTCCATGAGCACTACTTCCTCGGCCTCTTTCTGGTTACTCCATGTCTGGTCCCTTTACCCAAGTCCCAGCTGGGGACCAGGCCTTGCTGACCTGCTCTGGTGACAGGGGCCTGGGACTCAGGAGTGAGAGTTCTGACTCACCATCGAGTGCCCCCAGGCTACAACCTGGAACTCACTGATCTAGAGGCGTGGTTCCCAATGCTGGATCTTCTGGTGATTGCAGAAAATAATGAACATGAGAGGCAAATTCGAACACCACTGAACTTAGCTCACGGAGCCAGATGTCCAAAGCTGCTTTGTAGGTTGAGAACGGTCCCCACAGAGGTGCTCAGATGCACATCTGTCCCCCACTGTCAGGCAGGAGGCCCTCCCCACAGAATGCACGGGTGAACATCTGGTCTGAAGCCCAGGGGAGCATATTGGCATTGCTGCCAATGGGAGGAATATCTGCCCTTTAGGATTTTTTAAGTTGAGTGCTTTTCCCAGGTTTATGAAACAGGGAGAGTCCTTACAATGTTCCCATGGAGACACACTGCATTGCAGAGATCTAGCAGGAATTCTGTGGGGCAGGCTGGAGGGTTCATGCTTTGGACCGAGGAACAAGCTGCAGCCTTCCCTTTCCTTCCCCTTCTAAAACGTCCGCTTCTTAATGGACCCGGAAAGCAGCGTGTTTGTTTGGTGCAGCTGAGCCCCACAGCGGGGACTCAGGTCCAGGGAAATTTGGGGTAAGAACTACTGACCTTTGGCTCTTAGCCTTTGACTTATGCTATCCAAGTTCCTTGGTAAATATTTTTTTTACAATTGCAAATATTGTTTTCTGACAAAGAAGCAGAGATTTTAAGACCAGATTAAGCAAAGCAAACAGCAGGCCCCTTTGTTACATACTCTCTAAGGGTGTATAACTAATAAGCAATCAGAAAGCTGAACTTTTATTTACCCAGGACACCGTGTGGCTTTTGGCTCTTCATTTTTAGAGGCTTTCTGAAAAGATTAGAAATCAACTAAGTATCAAATGTAGATGAAGATTTTAAGAAATTCTATGGAAGACTACAAGGCAATTTCAGGAAGCAAAGAGGCAGTTCTGCCCAGATGGCTTTTATTGAGAGCCTTGATACAGTGCCTCTCTCTTGATCACGGGCCTTTTGGTAAATAGCATTTCTAAGCCTGACCTAATCTTTTAGGATACTTTTAGGATAATATTTGTGGGAACAAGATTCACAGAGTTGCCTCTCTGGCACTCATTGCTACGATCATGATTTTGACAGGAAATAGGAATTGTGGACAGAGAGTAGAGGCTAGAAATGAAATGAATTGGTAGAGGTTAAATATCTGCAAAGATTATTAGAAAAAGCCAGAAAACAAAGGAGAAGGTGGATTACTAAAGGAGGCTGACCTATAGCTGTGTGTCCAGGAAAGAAAAAAATTCAGGAAAGTGTCCCATGATGCAGGAACCCCGACCAGTGAATAAAAATGTCTGGGAGGCCGCAGTGCCTCACCTGGTTGCTTTTGAAGCTTTTTCTCGACCCCACTCCCCCAGCTACACCTCCCTCTGTAAGGTTTTCTGAGGCAGCAGAACCCTTCTGCCCCTAGCAGACACACCACTGAATACAAACCTCTGGGTACTCCCTCCCCAATAGCTGTGTGCTCCCAAGAATTTGGGAAAACAAAAAGGAGCTCTGAACCTGAGAAAGATGGTGATCCCTCCTCTAGTGGAGAGACCCCGTGGATTGCTGTTCCAGCTCTGGTGTGATCTTGAGAAAAATCTCTGTCACCCTAGTTTTGTCAGCTTGAAAATGACAATGTTGACCTTGATTCAGCACTTTGCAAACTGTGTTGCAACCCACTGGTGGGTCATGAAATGAAATTAATGAGTCACAACCAGAATTTTTAAAAATGAAATAGAGGAGAATAGAAAATATCAGATTACTTCACACGTATTGCACTGTTTCATGAAATATTTCTTGTGTGACTATGTGTGTTGCATTATGAATTTGTGTATATACAGTGCAAAATGTTTTTCTTACTTGGACTGTAATCATTGGCCTGGGTGACCTCTAAAGGCCTTAACCCTTCACCTTATCTGATTCTCCTAGGAGATGGCATACTTGTCATCACTTAGCTCACTCAGCAGAGTTGTACCTTGAGATCTCCACACACCAGAACAGAAAACGTACTTTTTGCCCCTCCTCTTACCAGATGACTGAGCTAAAAAAACAAAACAAAACAAAACCCACCTACACAATTCCCCAGGTTTAAGGCAAAGAAACCTTTGATTCCTGGGTGATAACCTTGGAAAGATACCAACAGCCAAGGCCAAGAAGCTTTCCTTGTGTGAGGAGTTGCTCTGGCATGATAGCCCCAAGTTGGCATGGAGGTTGGTGGGTACCTAGTATTGAGGAATTGGGGGGGGTGGGAAGTGCAATCCATGTCTGAGGGGCAGGGAGACAGAGGGGGAAGGGCTGGAAGAGGGAGGGCAGCTACCGGCTACAAAAGAAACTGCCAGCCCAGCCCCTTGGGACTGGACATTCGGGATTTGTAATGGAGCCAGCCTGGAGTGGTAAGAAGAAACAATTCCTACAGGCTACCCTTTTTTCAGGGGGTTAGTGAATGTGGGAATGATCCCTCAGTGCCTTTTATCCCCTTAGCACGTCCAAGACTCCTACCAGCCTGCTCACCAGGAGGTTTTATAATACCTGAAGTGCTCCTGTGTGCATAAGCAGAGGGTGGAAATAAAAGGTGAGGCCGAAATTCGATTTCCCGGCTCCACAGGCCATTCCCCTCACCAGTTCTCAAGGATTAGGATGCTAAGAAGAGCCAGCAACTGGGGGCCTTATACCCTTCCTGCCCCTTTGTTCCCTGGGCTGGGAGGAACAATACGTCCACAGGCCAGAGAGACTGAGGGGCCTGGTTAGAGATTTCTCAGGCTGCTTTTTGAAATACTTGAAGGAGCCAGTCTGTGCTATTGTTGTCGTAAAATAGAAAGCGGAACTATTCTCCTTTTGCAAAAAAAAAAAAGAGAGAGAAAGAGAGAGAGAGAAAGAAAGGAAAGAAAGAAGAAAGAAAAGAAAGAAAGAAAGGAAGGAAGGAAGGAAGGAAGGAAGGAAGGAAGGAAGGAAGGAAG